CAAAATGATAATTATTACGAAATGTGATTAGATACTAGTACATATGGGGTCACCAATTATTTAATAATGTACTTATTTATTTAATTTATGTCTTGATAATATTGACAAAGTTATCAAGTATCTTTTGAAGTAATAATAAAATAGACATTACGTTAACAATGTACTCAAATTATTAATGCTAATATAACTATTTATTATTTTGTAATTATAAGCTTTTAAATTTTGTCCCCTTAAATTTTATTCAACATAATGAAAATAATTGTATCAACCTTGGTTACTATTAAAATCTAACAGAATTGCAATCATTTAAGACTCTATTTGCAATATTAGACTATATATATAAAAACATATTCAATATTTTTTTATTAATTTTATTATAAAGCCTAATGTATTTGATATATTTTCTATTTAAAAATTTAATACATGCTTTAATTTAATAACAATTATTTATTATAATATAATTTAATATAATTTGTATTATTTTCTAATTGAGATTATTTTTAACCATATATAAACATAGTATATAACCATAACCATAATAATAATAAATATATAACCATAATATATAACCATATATAACCATAATAACCATATATACTACAGTATTATACATCTAATAGAAATGAATGATTCACTAAAATTTGTTAAATTAATTGTCAAATGTGTGGGTACTGTTGGATTGTGCACGATCATTGCAGGCAAGCTATTTTTAAAATTATTATTTACTTTTTAAGTTATTAATATTATTTATCATAATAGCATGTATGTTGTCAATAGTCTGGGTATTGCACATATTGTTCATAACAATAGGTGAGTGTTTGTTATATATTTATATATTTTTGTAAAAATAGTATTTTAAAAATAAACTTCAAATCAAATACTAGGCCTCATATATGTGAACGACTGTCCAAAAGCACCGACACTTCCCGTACTACTGATACTAAACGGTGTATTGAGTCTAATAGACGCCAATTCACATAAAATCAATAATAGCCTACAGACCGGAGTGACAGCCAAAAGGTTATGGGGTATCACCCGATCTGCTGCAGCCATTGGGTGTATGTTTTGCTTATCATATCATTTGCTTACAGAATATCGTATAATATATATATTTTTAATTGAATATTCAATATGATTAAAGTGGTATCCATGGTGTATATGACTGATTATCCGGATGTTATTAATCGAAAATCTATGGATTACTGTAATCCCACGTTGTACTGGTTCATTTCAATGACACTTAATCTATTAGTAATAATGATTGTGGTGTTGACAGCAATTGGGTGTTGTTGTGGTTTGGTTAGGACTACACACCCGGAACATACTGATGTAACTGATGGACCCAGTATTAAGCTAGCACATTCACGGCGACAAGTGGTTAAAGAATTTGTGTTTGACTTATTGTCCGTAATTTTTATGCCCAGGATGTTTAATTAAAAAAAGTATTAAATCATTAATTCTTATATTTTTCATTGTGTATAGAAAAGTTACAATCATTAATAATGATTCATTAACATAAATTATTTATATTATCAAATGTATATCATTTATAACTTATTTTCATCAATTGCTTTTATAATAATACTATTTTCAAATTAATGTATTATATTATTATTTCTAATTAGCTTACTAATTGTTATATAATACTAATTCAGTAAAAAAATTAAAATCCATTATCATTAACTAATTTGTATTGCATTCATGTTTGACTATTACAGCACTATTTTGCTTATAATATATCATGAGATACTTGTCTGTAGTTTCGCTGAATCCGAGGCAATAAAATAAATTTTTTAATTAAATCTAAAAACTTTGACGAATATTACGAAATAGTTATATATAATTAGAAATGACTACGAAATGAATACTTATAAAAATGAGTTCATATTTTCACTAACAATCTGTTTGAAACCTCATTTTGAAACTAGACTTTCATTATAAGAGTTACTTTTATTTAACCAAAAAGTCTCCAAATAGTAATAATCATGAAATTGTTTTCCCTGTTTACCGTACTCACCATCATTACCATGGCCCTGGTCATGATGAATTCAGTATAATGCCATGATGAGCTTGATACAAATACACAACATGATAACAAATCCGAAGATGACAAATAAAAAAGTGTTGACCGCAATGTATAACAAAATGTCCTTGCTTTAATAATGCAATAATTGTATTACACATAATGTTGTTTTTATATTTTTTAATAAAATATTTATTTTAATTACGTTTTAATACTATTTATTTAATTATTGACATACAATGGTAATATTTTGTAATGATTATGAACCTAATGATATCTACATTTTGTAGTACCCTATTGAACACCATATTAAACAGTGAATTATTTAATAAGAAATATGTTAACTACAGTTTCAATTTTAGATCACCAAGTTTATTGTTTTAAATATAACAAAAGTGAGTAAAATATTATAAATAAAAATCATCGTTCATTATATGCAAATTGATAATTATTACAAAATGTGACAAGGTACTAGGAAAAGTGGGGTCACCAAATATTTTATAATTTACTTATTTATTTAATTTAGGTATTGCATATCACTTTTAAAAAGTTATCAAGTCTCTTTAATAGTGATATATAATAGAAAATATTATTTTTAATACTTACTCAAATTATTATGATAATGCTAATATAACTATTTATTATTTAGTTCACCATTGATTGTCAATCGCTTTATTTGTGTGAAGTTGTCGTTAATTGTTTGCATCACATATTCATAACATTCATCGCAATCCATATGAGAGCTATTCATTGAGAAAGTCTTGAGTTTACGTCAATTAATACCGATTTGTTTCAATTGATTAAACAGTATATCGAATGAATTAAATTATTAAACAGTATTTTAAATGTATAGTATGCTTGATGTAAATACACTGGAGATTAGTTTATAATGTTTATTGTAAAATTTTTAAATTTGTATAATTCTCTAATACTATATTTAATATTGATACCGTAAATATTAATATGCAATGTTTAAAAAAATATCAAAATTATGAAAAGCATCTAAATATATTTTTCATTAAAAACAGACTTTACACGAGAGAAAAAAAAAGTTTTTTAAAAGTTATTTAAAACATTATGGTTTTTGCCAAGTTTTGTACAAAACACCGACCTTTTGGGAAAGGCTAAATTAGTAAACTTATCTAATTATACGCAATTTATAAAGTTTTATATTAAGTCAGTTTAGTATTCATTGAATACATTATACAGACATTCACAGAATATTCTGTGTATGCAATGAAATAGTTATGAAGTGTTTGCGCAAATGGTCTACAAATATATACACACTTTCTTTTATGACTTACCGATGAATTCATTTGCTTTACAGCACTCGTATTGACCATAATATATATACTGTAGTCAAGAATTTATGCTACTTATGACTGTACAGAATATTCTTTATAAAATGACTTTCAATACACAGACTTATATTAATTTGAATGTAATCTAAGAATATATTCTTTGATTTGAAGACACGTTTTGACAAACATTTGTGTCAATGGATACGACCGACGAGTCAAACGTGTCGTTCATCGCAAACCCACTGCTCATCGAATACCTGAAGACTTCGGATAACTTTGAGAGTGACTATCAGATGAACGCTACCATCAAATACAGTGTCTTAATGTTCAGCTATTCTGTCATATTCTTGGTGTCACTGATCGGGAACTCCTTAGTGTGTAAAGTGATACTCTGCGGACAGACATCGCGTACGCTCACCAACACCTTAATCGCCAACTTAGCCATCAGTGACCTATTGATGACTATAATCAACATCCCGTTCAACATCGCGCGGTTCATATTAGACAACTGGCCCTTTGGACAGGTATTGTGTGTGTTGGTGCCCTTCACACAGTCAACATCAGTGCACTGCTCATCCATATCCATGATGTTCATAGCCATTGAACGCTACCGCATACTAGTGTGTAATCTGCACCCAACCCATCACACCTACATCTTCGGCCACACCATATCCATGGCATTCATACTTCTCGGCATTTGGCTCATGTCGGCGCTCATATCCATACCGCACGGCATCTACAACCAGGTGGTCGAGTACGACAACATCGGACACCATCTGATCCGCTGCCGAGTGGTATACCCGGAGCCCCGGGACCTCTTCCGGCAACGGCTGACTCTCCTGTCATTTATGACACAGTATTTGATACCAATTGTGTTGACCTGTGGTTGTTATCTACGGATCGGCCTATTCTTGTGGCAGCGAAAGATCATTGGCGTCATCAGTGAGATCCAGAGAACTACTATCATCAGGATTAAGAGGCGTAGGATCAAGATGTTGGTGCTCGTGGTGGTCGTGTTTGCCATATGTTGGCTGCCGTTGAATATCTACCACTTGTTGACGGACTTCGATGCCATCGACTACTCCCTCACCGTATTCTTCATCACCCATTGCTTCGCTATGTCCAGCGTTTGGTCAGTATTTTAATTAGTGTCTAGTTTTTGATATGTTTTTGATTTGCTTTTGTTTCCTATTTTATTAAATTGTTTCTCATGTGTTAACTGTTTGTAAATAATTTAATTATTTACCATATTTTTAGAATATATATATATATATATATATATATACAGAGCTAGATGTATAGATAGGGTAAATGTAATACAGACATCGAAATGTGTTTTTAATTAACTTAAGCCATAAAACTAAGAGTATATTAAATTTATGCAACCTTATAATTTTATAATTTCTATTTTGATACTTGTTTACAACACACGTTACTTTGTTAAATATAGAAATAAAATTAATCTTTCACTCTATATTACATTTTACGACAAAACCTTTTTTATTAAAAATAAACAGAAATAAGTTATTAATGGAAATGTTATCCAAAAAAGTCTCAAGAATTGAATCTAAAATTCTTGCGTTTCAGTGAATATAATGAGCTTTTTATGGCCACTAAAAGTGATTTTAATGTCTGATTATAACACTGTGTTAACCCGTATTCACAGTTACAATCCATTCATCTATTGCTGGCTCAACAAGAAATTCAAGCAAAGGGTAAAGAATCTCATGTATTGTGTGTCCACTCGTAGCCAACAAAGCGTTTCCATACCATTGAATACATTCTTCGATGTCGTCGATGTCGGTCCAGAAATCATTGAATCCAGTGTTGGAGATAATCATTGATACAATCGTTAAAGGCTTAGACATTCAACGAATATATGAATAAAAGTGAATTCAATATGAATAGGAATTTTTGGAGAGAGAGAGAGAGAGAAAGAGAGAGAGAGATTACAATATATTGTAATTATACTAAAATACTGTATATAGATATTTTTTAATTTGTGAAATATGTCATTTTATTTGAACAATAAAACTTTTCTATATATGCACCATTAATTAATGTCTATACGCTTAGTTATTCACAACATTTAAAATAATATCCGTAAATATTTTCTCAATAATTTTCATAAATTTGTTGATCCTTTTCGTAAAACTATTTATTTATTTATAAATATTTATTCTTACAAAAAATATCTGTCGAAAGATCTATCAATAAATTAGTTTTGCTCTGAAAAACATTTCTCCTAAACTAAAATATTATATAAATTTAATTTACTATTTGCTCACATATGCTATTTGTATGTCTATAATCCCCACCTCCCTTTCCTCTACACTAGTATACCATATGAAAACATACTTTCATTATAAATAAATTATTTTTTACTAAACCATTTTTTACTGTTTGTGTTTTTAAATAAATAATTAGTTTCTAGCATAATTTGTAATGAAATATAAAATAAAAATACAATAAATGTAATTTATGCCATAAATATCATTTGATACACTACTCCCTGTAGTATACAATAAATGGGGTTTTAATTAGTATTAAGTAATAACGTAATAAAGTAAAGTAATTCTCATAATATTAATCTAGTACATTTGCATATAATTTAAGTATATATTTAAATATTCTTGTTTAATTCATGAATAAATATACTTAAAAATTCAAATGAAATTAGAAGTTGACGTTAAACTCAATAACTTATTAAAGTATAATTTGCTTAAAATTAGAGTTAAATTCAAAAATAGTAATTAATTTTGTATAATGAGATGTACATTTATATCAAATGCAAAATATATAAAAATATCCATCAATTCAAATTAGAGATATATTTACAGTATTTTTATTTTAAAAGTATTAAGTGTTTCATTAATCATTAAAATGCATAATTATTAATGATTAAAATAATTTCATTTTATTTTAATAATGTAATTGATGTAAATAATTTTAAAATATATTTTATATGAATATGTGAAACATATGAAAATTATTTGTGTCAATTTTATTTTTAGAAAGTAATTCAAAAACATAAGAAATTGTATAAAACTATAAATAGTAAAGGAATTGACCTAGTATACAAATCCAATAATGGCCATAATTTAACGGAAAATGTCTAATGATTAAAGGGATTAACAATAAAATCCATTATTTTGAAAATACAAAATAAAATCCCATTTTATTGGTAGCTTTCATACAAATGCTTACAATATTATGAATTAATGAAATGTTTTTATAAAATCCTATTGAATATACGCTTAATAATATGTTTTTAAATAATTGAGCATTAAATAATAAAATAAACTTATTATCATTATGCATAGAAATTTTATAGCTATTTTAAGCCATCTTATAAATAGGTCTCATTATTTGAGCTTGATGTTTATAATCATTTGCCGATTTATTAACTTATATTATATACAACTCAATTTAAATAATTTATATAAAAAACTTAATTATTGTGTATGGTAAGTTGTTAATTATTTAGTTTATATTTTTATTATAATTATATTTCTAATTACTCACATTACCCTACTCATATGTACCTAATATTAAATTAATATCTATGTAATAATAAGTTTAAAATGTTTTATTTGTATGGAAAACTGGTATATAAGTTGTTAAATAAATTTTTAATTAAATAAATTTTTACACACCAAAATTAATATAGTAAACAGAATGTCATTATTAAAATAAATATTAAAATATTTAATATTTAGATTTAATATTAAAATTTGTTTTCAATATTATTTTTATTCAATATTTATTCAAGTCAAATATGTTGCAATTATTAACAATAGTTTATGAAGCACTTGTAGGTAAAAATAAATTAAATTAAAATATAACAGTAAGCACAGCATATTTGTACTGTATATAAAAAAATATCATTAATCTAAAACTTATTAAATTTTGCAATACAGTATTCAATAAAAAATATATTAATATAAGAAAACTAAAAATACACATTTTGACATATTTTATTAAATCTCTTACAAAAAATATTATATAACCTAAAAATACCAATTCAATGTTTGATTGGTAAAATAATATTATTTCAAATAACTTACATGATTTTATCGATTAATATACCCTATGGACAAGGATTGCAAGCTAAGCACCTTAACCCTAACATTCATATAATAGCATTGATTTATTTTTGCACATTATATTGTAATCCAGGGGATTGACCCCTTTTTAATAGCCAATGGCCATCATAATATTTACGTGAAATACATTTTTACTACAGAAATATTGTGCATTTCAAAGCCAAGTTATAATATTATTGATTTTAAAAATAGTTCTAGTAATGGGTTATTAAAAATAACATAATTCATTTTATAATACCTGCACTTAGAAATAATAACATACTGTACTTACGGTAGCAATTTAGTAATTTCTATGTCTTTTATAAAATATTTATTTTTTATAAATATTTTATTTTTTTATATAATTCCCAAATAATTTTATATAAATTCCGGAATAAATCCGGATTTTAAATAAATAAAAAATATTTCTTAAGAATTCTTTTGCAATCATTTCATACAAAATAGTTATAAATATTTAAAATACTGCTTATTTTCTTTTATAATATTACGTGTTTTCTGAGTATATTTGGCAACATTTATAAATATACTAAGGATTTGAATAAGGTAGTGGTTTCCTTATAAAATGCTTTTTAAAATAACTTTTATAATAAATTTATTATATAAACTATATATTATTGTGTCTTTATAAATATATAATATTAATTACTCTGAGAAACAGTGTTGTTTATAAAAGTTATGCAACAAACACAGTTGTGTACCTGGCACATTCTCATACTGTTTACATTTATTACAAAACATTAATTAATAAATAATTACAAATAATATAAAAATGTAATACTGATAACAAATAAACAATGTCATTGTATTACTATATTACAAAAATGATAACACATTTCTATATTACAAATCAGTGGACAGGTGTTTATGAGTATCGAGTCCATTAGAGTTGGGAAATATTTGCTCACTATTTGTATGCATATTATTCTGAGTTTGTCTGACATTAGCATTACAATCAACACTATCTATACTCCCGTTCCTACAGAATATATGAATATATA